AGAAGTCACTTTTTTAAGCCAATCTAATATTTTGTTTTAATACACTACATTGGTTCTAGTTATCAAATATTTTATTAATAGATTTGAATATTTGGATAATTTAACTCAAAATTTTAAAATATTAGACAATGTTATACTGTGGAATACTTAAAAGAGAACTTAAAACATGAAAAAAAAATTGTTAAGACCTTACAAATTTTTTCTTGGTTATCTAAATTAATCGTGTCTATTTATCCAACCGTTGTCACATGGAATTTTTACATTCCTATTCCATATAGGAAACTATATTACCCTCAATGTTTAAGGTTTGATATAATTACATTTAGTATACCTAATTACCAATTATATACCATTAGTGGTTTTTAAGAGTATTAATTACACTCCTAATTTAATGGTACCGTATATTCCTTCTAATACCACTCCCCCACGTTTCTCTCTCCAATTCCCACACCTTCACCCACGTTTTCCTCCCACACCCATGATTTATGTATCAAAATCCTATTATTTCTTCCATAGCCAAGGCACTGTCGGCACCTTTGCAATCTTGTCCCAATGTTTTTGTGCCCGGGGAAGATGAGCACAAGCCTGATCGATTTGATGGTTATGATTTCGGGTTCCTTCAGTAATATAAGAGGAAAGGAAAAGAGAGCAGCAATTCCACCATTGACAGCCATTAAAAAGCTTTGAATTCAAATTTGAATTTTCAAAAATCATTATTTGTTTGGATTGGGTATTGTTGTAAATAATTGGGAATATGGTTTGGAGTTTATATCTCAATTTTGAGGGGTTTGGTGAAGATTAGACTTGGTTTTGGCTGAATTTCAGATTGAAAGAGGAAGAAGAAGAAAAAGAAGAAGACATGACATACATTATATTGCAGCAAATGTAGATAAATTGTAGAAAAATTGTAGACTACTGTTTATTTATTTTTGAGCTTTTGAGTTTTTGTGTTAAAAGTTTTGATGGGAGCTTGTTATTCCACTTCGTCTGTTTTGGAGCTAACTTGTGCAGAGGAGAAGATGTTTTTTAAGTTATATATATTGCTATACCTTTAAATTCAAGAAAGTATGGTTGTATTGTATTTAAAGAGGCATGAATTTGTAGAATAGGTTGAATGTGAGGAATGAGTCAAATAAGACTCATAATGGCTTATTTTCTACATTTAATCTACAACAAAACTACATATCATTTGAAAATTTGATATGAAAATATAGAATTTCAATGTTTCTACAAATTATCTATAAAATTTCTACAAACTGTTCATAACAGAATTTATCTTTATTTTCATGCATGTTCGTCTAGAACACTAGAGTTACTTGATATGCCAATATCTCCCGTTATAGAGGAATACAACTTATCTATAATTTTCTACAACTTTCACACATTATTTCCACCCAGTTAAATATAACTACAATAACATAAAACTTACATACAAAATTTTATACAATATGTCTTTTGTATATTTTGTATCTGATTTATACATAGTAAAAACAATTTTCATACAACTAATTATATATTATACAACTTATCTACAAATTATCTACAATTTTCGTATATTATTTCTACTAAGTTATATACAACTACAATATAATACCACTTAAATATAATTTTTATACAATGTTGTTCAACTTTCATACAATAGTTAAATAAATAAAAGAAAAATAAATAAACAACAGAATACAATTTTTCTACAATTTCTGCAATAATGTATGTCATGTCTTCTTCTTCTTCTTCTTCTTCTTCTTCTTCTTCTTCTTCTTCTTCTTCTTTTTCTTCTTCTTCGAGTTTCAATCCAAAATTCAGCCAAAACCAAGTCTAATCTTCACCAAAACCCCTCAAAATTGAGATATAAACTCCAAACCATATTCCCAATGATTTGCAACAACACCCAATCCAAACAAATAATGATTTTTGAAAATTCAAATTTGAATTCAAAGCTTCAAAGCTTTTTAATGGCTGTCAATGGTGGAATTGCTGCTCTCTTTTTCTTTGCTTTGTATTACTGAAATTTGGACATAATTGCGTTTGATGTAGAAGAATTGTAGAAGATTTAGTTGTTTTTGATTTGTGAAATCAGAAAAAAGTTTGAAACACAGTGTATCGAAAAAGCAGAGACGCTAAATTTGAAACGAAACTGACGAAGAAGATTAATATGCGTGATTTGCGTTGTGGAAGATCTGGAAGAATATTTAATCCTCCAATTTTAGCGCGCCTAAATAAGGAAGCCTACAGCTACAATTATTCCTTATTTAATGCATTATCTATATTTTGTAGAAATACTATTAGCATGAAGGGTAATATGCAAACTATGAACATATCTGGTAATATAATTTCATATGTAGTATAGGAACGAAAATTTCCTTGTCACATTACTAATGTTATTTCCTTACGTCCTCTTAAGTTTTGGCTCTAGGCCTCCGGTTTGATTGAGCTGTCCCTGCTTTAGCGGATGTAAAGTACTCTGGCTCTTGGTCAAAGGTGAGCTTCCTCTAACAACCAAGACACCACTTCATATAAGAAGTTCTTTAGATTTAAACAAAGACTTACTCCACAATCCTGATGCTTCTTTTGTCGGTACGACTTAGGTATTCGATCATCATTTTCTCCCTCTAAAAATTTTCCATAGAAGACCTTTAATTTGAAAATATAAGTTTATTCCTATCATACATACAATTACAATGTAACATTCTTTATACTAAATTCTTACAATCTTAAGTTCAAATAACCTCATTATCTCAATCTAATTCCTCCCATAAGCGAAACAGACTCCATCAAAAAATTCTGATATATGCAATTAAACTTCGTTAATCTTAGTCATTGATTCTTACGCTTGTTAGGAACCAATTTGTGAAGTCAAAACTAGTCCATATATTCTAACAGATTACAAAGTGAAAAAAAGAAAAGCAATGGGATAAGAAGACGTTACTTAATCTGTCCTTGACCAAACAGTGTATATGTCACGTTTAGTTTGTCTTCGGTAGTATTGACAATGTATTGGACCGAGCGGGCATGGAACTTTTGCTGATGGTGTCATTTCATTCGCCGGAGTAGAATTGATTGAATAGCTACTAAGAACCTTCCTTGTTGATGGACAAATAGTAACGCTCTTAGAGATGGACATGTTTTTGCTACAAAGAAAAGAGGAAAACTAGAGTGTCTTACCACCTTCTCTCTGTTTGCTTCCAGTGTCTTCTTATTAGTCTTTCAAAAAGAATATGTACCTTTTAAACTTAGAAAATATTTTAACTTGAATTTCACATTTTACTCTTAATAACAAGTATTTTTAAACATATAAATATAATATGACTTTTAAGATCACATATTTTAAAAATCTTACAATCACACAAATATTGTAACATATTTGGAGTCCATTACGCAAATGGTCATTCAACTATCCCAAATTATCTCTTAAAGTCATTTTTCTTTCGTTTGTAACAACAAAGTCACTGAACTATGCCTATTGCACTCAGAAGGTCACTCAACTAGATTTTCCAAATTTTAGATTGCCAAATACCTATTTTACTCTCTAAATTATAAACATTTATCTTCTTTTTATTTTTTAAAACTTTTTAATATTATAATTTTCCCCTTTTTAATTTACATTATGGACTTACCTATAGAATAAATAAATATTATTTATAAATTAAAAAAATAAAAAGTATTTAAGCATATATAATGCTGGAATAACAAAATAATGAGCATAGTAAAAAAATTAATTAGAATAATTTGTTAGTAATAATAATTTTAGTATTAACAACAAAAATATATTTACACAATTCAGAATGAAAGAAAATAAAGGTTGTAAAATGTCTATTCCATGCAAGTAATATAAAAATAATTATTTAAATAAAGATATATTTATAATATACATTATATATTCTTGAAAATTATGCTCAGTTATATTATATATATTCCATGCACGACTTAACAGATAGTCCCTCCTCTTTCTGGTGACATAACTTTGTGTCGTCGGAAAGTTGGTAGAAACATAATAATATAATTGAGCATTACTTTCAAGAATATATAATTGTATATTATAAAAATACCTTTATATTAAATAATTATTGTTATATTACGTGCATGGAATATATATTTTACAACCTTTATTTTCTTTCATTCTGAATTGTGTAAATAAATTTTTGAATTTTTGTTGTTAATACTAAAAAGTTTAAAAAAAATAAAAAGAAGATAAATGTTTATAATTTAGAGGGTAAAATAGGTATTTGACAATCCAAAATTTGGAAAATCTAGTTGAGTGACCTTCTGAGCGCAATAGGCATAGTTCAGTGACTTTGTTGTTACAAACGAAAGAAAAGTGACTTTAGGAGATAATTTGGGATAGTTGAGTGACCATTTAAATAATTGACTCCATATTTGCGATAAAACATTTCAAATATTTTCTTTTTGTTTTTTTTGTGTAGGTCAAACTACACCATATATTTATTGAAACGAAGAGAGTAATGAAGTTCAATTGTGACACCTTTCTCTTCCTTCCCAACCTCCAAAGTGAAAATATAAAAAGAAAAGAATTATGTATGTCAAGCAATTTTAGTCAAAACAACACTCTTAGGCCCCGTTTGGCCATAAATTTTGTCAAAATAAATTTGAGATTTATTTTCAAAACTCATGTTTGGCCATAAATTTTGCTCATATTTTGGCCAAATCCTAAATCAAAAATTTCAAATTCCAAAATCAGCTATTGAGCTGAATTTGGGCCAAAATCCCAAAACTTGGGAATTATATACATGTTTTTTCAGAATAAAGTTGGAAAATATGTTTTGAAAACGTATGTCCAAACACATTTTCATCTTCAAATCAAACTTCACCCAAATCAGATTTTTCAAAATAAATTTGGGATCTATGGCCAAACGCTAGCTTATACTATGTGCAGTAACACTCGTACCTAACTTTTTGTAGAATGGGACAAACGTGGACCTTACAAGTTACAGCTCCGCGGGAGTCTATATATACGAAGGTTGGGAATGCGCTCTAACTAACAGTTTCTTTTCTTTCTGTTTTCATGCATTCTGACTGGACAAAATTCAACAAGTTCAGTCGCTCTCACTTTCACCTTTCACTTTATCGCCGCTTATTTCATGTTACTAATCTTCAACGGATTAACAAAAGGAAAAATGGAATTCGATCTCGAGAATCCATTGACGGGCTTCGAAGAACATCATTTCGACGCCGTTTCAGCTCTCTTCGCTTCCGAATCCGATCACATGCCGTCCTTTCTCGCCTTCAAATCTACTGATGTTCGCTTTTGCCTTCGCCGCCATTCTCTCTCCCTTATATTTCAAGTAAACACTTCATAATTCCAATTTCAGCAAAAATTTGTAATGCTTTCATATTAATTTGTTTTGCACGTGATAAATCTATGTGTAAATTCTCTTAGATTTAAATTAAATGTTCGAAAAGTATACTATCAGAAGTTATAATTTGCAGTACTCGTTGTATGAAATTGTTAAATCTCGTAGCTTAGTTTAACTCTTAATAGAGATAATAATCGTGAATGTTATGAAGTAGCTATAGTAACAGTGTGTTTAAGTAGTTAATTTCACATGTTTTTGGTTGTGATTGTTGCAGGCACAAAGCGCTCACAAATTTGATCGGTATATCACATACCTTGCTGTCAATTACATCGACCGTTTTCTTTCCGAACAAGTAGTTACGGTAAATGAAATTCATAAGTTTCATATTTAGAGCTATTCACACATAAAATTGAGTGAAATAGGTGAGGATCTGATGAGAATTGTATGAAACTTACTTCTACAGGTGAATAAGCCATGGATTGTACGGATTCTCGTCATTGCTAGCCTTTCACTTGCCTCGAAAATGAAGAACGTCGATTTATCACTCTCCGATATTCAGGTAAATTGCGAGTCAATACTGAACAGCACAATTTCGAATTCAATATGAGTTAATAAGAAATTTGTGTAACAGAGAGATGTAGGTTTATTTTTTGACGCTCAATCAATTCACCGTATGGAATCGCTGATTCTCACTACTCTAGAGTGGCGACTAAGATCCATCACGCCTTTCTCGTTTCTGCATTTCTGCATGTCGATTTTTCAACTCGGTGACTCGTCTCTGACTCAGCCTCTTAAACGACGAGCTTCAGATATCATCTTCAGTACTCAATACGGTATTGTTAATTCTCTGCTAATTTCATAATTATATTATTAGTTGGGTAGTAAGCAACTACTATCTTAACCTTTGATTATGCCGCCATATTGACACATATCATTGCAGAAATTAAGCTTTTTGAGTATAAACCATCAACAATAGCAGCATCGGCGCTTCTGTGTGCAGCTGATGAGTTGATTCCATTGCAATTTTCCTCTTTCTTAGCTGCAATTTCAGAATGTCAATACTTAACTAAAGTAAGTCCTCTTTAAATAATTAACCTGTTTCGTAGTTCCAATTATTGGATTGCAGAGTCAACTAATTCTTTTTTAACTGGCCTTTTTTTTACTCCTTCCGGTCCAAAATAAGTGATTTTTTGGCCCTTTTTTTGTGGTCCAAAATAAGTGATTTTTTCAAATTTCAAGAATGAATTAATTATTTTTTTCCTACATTGTCCTTGGAGTAAATATTGTGCTTGAGTATGTGTTAAGAGTGTTTATGTGAGATAGTAAAGGTTAATATGGTTAATTTCATTGTTAATTAATGCTAAAAGATGGATTTCTTAATTGTGTGAAAACATCAAAAAAATCACTTATTTTGGACCGGAGGGAGTAATATTCTAAATACATTTTAGTCTTTGGTGTAGTTTCCAAAATAAATAAGTGTTGTTCCAAATAATTAAAGACTTGCAATATGTTTTGACTATGTTGTTTTTCTTGGATAATATGATCTTTTCTCCATTTTTATTAGTAGTACTCCACTTTTTTGTTTATTTACATGATTCTAACTGAGGAATTATACTCTTTGTTAGGAGGAACTTATGAATGCTTTGGCTGCAATACGGGAAATGCTGATTGAAGGGCGTGAGTCCACTGTCGATTCAGAGTCTTGTAGTACGTTGACGCCAAAAAGTGTTCTTGACTGTGAATGACTGAATGTACAACTTCTGAGTGCGAGAAACGCACGAATCTAGACGGGAACAGCATCAAAAGGCGTAAATTGAATGACCTTAGGGGTGACCAGACGTTCCGCATTTCTCATATTCAGCGGTGCTAAAATTGTTTTTTATTTTCTTTAATTAGGATGGTCTCGCGTATAACAGTTTTGTTCGAACGGGAACAGACACGTGAATAGTGAGAAGTGGAGGACCTTTGAATAAATTGAACTAGAATTGTAACCATATTGCTGTAGACTGCAACATCCCCATAGATGCCTCTTTGTGCTTCGAAATGGCAATGTAGGTTGCAGCAAAAAGTAAAAAAACGCAATTTATGTTCTATTCAATTAAAATGCTAATAAAGCTGTTTAGAGAAAATTTTCCTACGAACGCATGTCGAATCAACCAAAGAAAAACTTCATTTTGTTCTTTAATGGATTTATCTTCCATCCCTGTTTCTTTTCTTCATCGTGATTCACGAACATAAAAGGATAGGTTATTTATCGTCGTCGTTGCTATGAAATTTTCCCATTAATACTTTTATGTTAGAAAATTGGAGAATCTTTGTTTCCTTGGATAGTTGGATGGTGGCGTGGGTAGTGGCAAAGGAAGAATTTTTTTCAAGGGTATTTAAATATGAGAGAAGAAAAAAAATTCCGACAAAGAGTATTTTACGTTATATACCTCTAAAACTTAATATTTTACTTATATATGCAATTTAATTTTTCAACCAAGAGTGGTCAATTGACCATCCTTACCAACGTGTAGCTTTGCCCCTGAGCGTGGGAGGGGGTTGGAGGTTGAACAAACAAGGGGGATTATGGAGCTGAATATATACGTAATCTAGTTTTATGTGCAGTCAATGCCGGGAGAGTAGCGAATCCAAAAAGAGAGAAATGATTTAAAAAGATAGAAAAAACAAAAAAGCAAGAAGAGGAAAAGTGGCGCGAAGAAAAAACAAATACTCCTACTCTGTATATCGCTTTATCAGTTCCACTCAATCCTTGTTTTCATCTATCTTTGCCCACTGCCAAAGATAGATGAAAACAAGGATTGAGTGGGGCTAAGACAGAGGAAACGTTGAAGGAACGTTGTCACTTGAATTTTAGCAAGGTGTTTGGATCTTGGTCGAAGAGACATGTCTCTTACATGTCATTAACATCTTTGAAAGCAACAGTTATACAAACTCATCGTATATTTTTTTCTTTTCTTGGAGGATGGACTAAATTGGTTTTCCAAAGCCTTTTACCTTTTCTTCCGCATGAGAGAAATTTGTTTACTTATCAACTCAAATTTTATCACTTCATTGTTCTTAATTAATGCACATTCTCACTCTAATATATTATTTAATCAAGAAAATGTTAGGACCGAAAAAGTCAGGTGTTATGCAAAAGCTAGCAAAGCAAACCTTGAACGACGATAAATCATACAACAAAGAGAAATCTACCAAAAGAGACACAAACATTTAACGTGGTTCGGTCAACTGACCTACGTCCACAACGGAGATGAGCAATCCACTATAATAAAAAGAGAGTACAAAATATCGAGAGAACAACCTCACGAAGAGGCAAACACAAGTGACACACTAACACTTGTCCCGTAAAGTTCTTCCCCTAAACAAGACTCTCAAGCCCCCTATGGCTACATTGTGGATGCTACTGAATGTGAAAGAAGGATCCTCAATTTATAGAAGTCCAAACCTTTTCCTACAAGAAAAGGGACTAGCCAAATATGGAAGAATTTATAATTTCCTTTTACAAAAAGGAAAACCTAGTTAAGGTAATTATATTGCCTTTTTCCTTCAAGAGATAGGAAAACCAAATATGGTAAGAAAATTATGGCAAACACCTAACAGAAAAGGGGTTGGCGTAAATAGGTGTGGGTAAATTTTGGGCAGAGGGAATGAGGGATGTAACAACCATTTTTTATAGAGGAATTTTCTAAAATCACTATTGTTTAGTGGCTATTAACTTCTCCTAGCTACCATATACATAATTACTTCCTATAGCTACTATTCAGTTGTTACGGTAGTGTATTCGCTGTATTTGCGCTGCTGTGTTCATGAATACAACAGCAAAAAGCTCCTAAAATCAGGATAATCCAGCTGTACGCGCATGTATTCACATGTATTCGTGCCATGTATTCATGAATACAACAACAAAAAGTGCATAAAATTAGGCAAGTCCAGTTGTACGCGCATGTATTCATATGTATTCGCATTGTTGTATTCATGAATACAACAATAAAAAGCGCCTAAAATCAGGGCAGTCCAGCTGTACGCGCATATATTCACATGTATTCGCGCCATGTATTCACGAATACAGAAACAAAAAGCGCCTAAAATCAGGGCAGTCTAGTTGTACGTGCATGTATTCACATGTATTCGCGCTGCTGTATTCATGAATACAGCAGTATGTATTCATGAATACAACAGTAAAAAACGCCTAAAATCAGGGCAATCCAGTTGTATGTGAATGTATTCACATGTATTCGCGCTATGTATTCATGAATACAGTAACGACAATCACCTTAAAAATAGGTATGTCCAGTTGTCTAAGAGACGAAAAACATAAATAACGTATTTCATACCTTATTTCATGCCTCAATGGTAGTATATACCATAAATACTTATTTTGCTATAAATATAAAAAATAGCTATAGAAAATATATTTTAAAATAATTTTGATTTATAATAAATAGGATGGATACCTTTGCTATAGGAGATAAAATTTTCTTTTTTTATATAGTTGAGCAATATAGGCATTTCTCTCCGGGCTGAACAAGTCTACATAAGAGCAAAATGTGGTGCATTGGGCGATGTATGGCCAACTTTATAACAACAGTCATTTCTTCACCGTTAATTGGTTTGACTAGAGGTATACATGGACTGGTTGTTTGGATTTGATCAATATCAAATCAAACCCATTATATCGGTTTGGATTGATTCGATTTTGTCGGATTTTTTGGATTTTTCGGATTTTTTCGTTACATGAATATTATTCCAATCTTGCTTTATTAAAGTTATAGATAAAATTTTGATAAGTGAATACATGTTTACTAAAAATAAAAATAAAAATAAAAATAAGCAAACACATGATCTATTAAAGTATTCTTATGGGAGAATTTTTTTTTTTAGTAATACATAATAATTTATTTTCTTAGTTGTCTAACAATAATTCATGGTTGATGTACGCTTTCATGGTTAGCCGAATTTAATAGTTAAACATAAAAATCAATATGACGCCTAAATAATGATATGTTCTATGTAATTTTAGATTATCGAGATACCACTTCAAATTCATAAAAAATATAAGAAATTTTGCCATATGAATATGAAAGAACAAAGAGATGATTGACGGATTGCAATAACTCTTAATAAGAAAGTGATACAATCCATTATTTAGTGGGCGTTTGGAAATAAGAATTGTAAAAGTGAAAATAAAAAATTCAAGTGAAAATGATATTTGAAAATTAGGGTTGTGTTTGGACATGAATATAATTTTGGGTTGTTTTTGAAGTTCTGTTAGTGATCTGAGTGAAAATTTTGAAAAATAACTTTTTGAAATTTTTCAAATTTTCGAAAAATTTCAAAATTCATCTTCAACTGAAAATTGAAGATTTTATAACCAAACACTAATTTCGAAAAAAGTGAAAATTTTTTGAAAAAAAGTGAAAAAATTCTTATGTCCAAACGGGCTCTTAAAGTAAATAAAAATGAATGCACTTTAGAGTTCTATTAAATATTACATCCCATGAGAAGATCTCAAATATTTCTAGACATCTTTTAAACAAAATTCTATATAAAATCTTAAAAGTATATATAAAAAAAGTAAAATTCATTTGTAGCCGGCCGGTGAAAACAATTATCATTCGCTAGCCATGAATTAAGCCATACAATTTATAGCCCCAAACAAATTATAATGGCTAGCCTAAATTGGTCTTCTCCGCATGCCGACAAACATTATTGTAAAGCCTAAATCGTTCATCCACGTTCTCATTAAAGTTGCAGCATGTTCCTTAGGCTATTGTTTGTTTAATCCAGATTAACTTCATCATCCATCTAATTTTCTTATTTTTTTTTGAACAAACGTCTCCTGCTTGTTCTCATTAAACAATTGTAAAGCCTAAATCGTTCACCAGTAGAAAATATGCGACTTGGCCATGATTAGTTTTTGTCCTAACCTCATCATGTTTTATTTTTGCTTCTGTGCCACGCTAAAGCTAATAAGAAGCAAGTTTAAGAGCTGGAAATATTATGTGTTCTTCACTTTTGAATGAGGGCTTTATATACGCAAAGTACTTGCAATTAATTGATTTCGTTGATGCTACCTACGAAGTTTCTATCTTTTTCGAATTGATGGTTAAGGACTCAAAGCCTCATGTATTGTAGACCATAATAACAAGGGGAAATACTCTATACTCTCTGCGTTTTGTTTAACTACTTTATCACGAAATTTAATAAAGAAAGAAGTATATTCAAAACTTGTAGTCTTAAATATGCCATGACTTTTTTTTTGGATAATAGCGTTTGGGAAACATTAATGATACATTAAGGATACATTGTAAAATGTGCGATACATTTTATATATACAAAATCTATACATCGTAGAACACTCTATACACTTTGGATACACAAAAACGCTCGGGATACATTAATGATACATTATGGATACATTGTAAGATGCACGATACACTCTATATACAAATTTTATGAAATGTATACACTAAATAGATTATCACTATACAAAAAATATACTAAAATAGACAGTCACTATAAAATATATACAAAATAGACTGTCACTATACAAAAAATACACAAAATAGACTGTCATTATTTAAAAAATATGCAATAGACTATAACCATACAAAATAGACTGTCACTCTACAAAACTATACAAAATAGACTGTCACTGTACAATTTACATACAATAAACAGTCACTATACAAAAAATATAGTACTAAATAGACTATCACATATAAAAATGGGATTTTTTCTTATCTATACCATATATGAAACCTTATTACCAAAAATGTGCATAATTTCTAAATTACCCGCCCAGTCCACATTATTTCTACAGGTTTTGTACCAATCATTAAAAGCTAATTAATAGCAGTTGTATCTTCCTATTTATGCGAGCTAAATTTTAGGAGAAGAATATTCTGAACAGATTTGGCGTGAATATTCTGAAAAGATTTAGGAGAAGAATATTGAAACGGAAAGGAGATTTCTGTTTTTCATCTTCAT